CTTCTCCTCCATTCTCCTCTCGGGATCTTGGGCACGCACGCACACGCGCCCGGCGTGAGTTTAAGCCACCGGGTCCAGGACTCGAACCACGGTTGACTACATGGGAGTCCAGCGACATAGCTATTACGCTAACTGCTGGTCCCCTTCTCTGTGCATTTTGCTGTCCCTGGGACCCGGATATCAGCCTGATTCCTCTACATTCGAGAAGAGTTAATGGCTCCTGGGAGGTAGGGGTTGTCACCTGTGTCCTGCTTCTGAACACCTGGGCCCTCATAGCCGAGGCTCACATTGACACGTCAATCCCCGCCCCGCCTCGCATGCCCGCCCCGGAGGAGGAACTACGCATCATTTGGTTGCAGGAAACGAGCCTTTTCACGTGTTTCAAATCCCAAATCCGAAAGGGTCAGAGGTCATCTCGCCAGCCCCGCCCAGAACCTGCAGCGGCAGGTGTTCCGGGTGGACAGTAACGGCCCTTCCTTTGTCCTCCAGCATCTGATGTGTGCGGGGCTGTGGTGCTTGGTGGAAGGAGACGCGTCCTGCAAGACCAAGCTGGACCCGCCCCTGGACGGCACCGAGTGTGGGGCAGACAAGGTAACCCCCGGTCTCCCCACCCCAGCACGCACTGGGCACCTCTCCTTCCAAAAGGCAGTCTGTGTCCGTGAGCCTCTGAAACACCCTCTGGGGCCACCACGGAATCTGCCACGAAACCCACACCAGGGCCAGGGAGGGACCTACATGACCTCGCTCATATTTTCGTTTCTTTTTTTTATTATTATTATTTTTAATTTGCTATAAAGTGTGTGCACTTGCCAGAGAGAGACAGAGAGAGAGAAAGTACCCCCAGGGGAGCTAGCCATGCCTTCTCCATTTCCCTCTCAGCATTTGGGGTGCACACGCACACACGCCCAGCGTATGTCTCCAGCCACTGAATCTGGGCTCAAACAATGTTACCCCTTGGGGTCCAGCCGGCTTCACCCCCACGCCCCCAGCTGCTTTCATTGTTTTTCTTAGAATTATTAGCACTTGAGTTAGATTACTTCTCTTTGTCATATGGGTGAATTTATTTACGGGATTGTTGGAAAAGTCCTGACCTTTTTTGTTTTTTTTTTTTTTTTCCGGCTTTGTTGTGGTTCTGTAAAAATGCATCTCGACTTTTCCAACAACCCAAGAAAAGGCACAACTTCCTAATACTGGCCGTCCACCATAGCGAGGTCAAATGGGTGAGTTAAGAATGGGACTAGCCAGTCTAGCTAGATGTGAAGAGGGCTAGCCTGATTCGCACACCCTGGGAGAGATCTGTGTTAGGAAAGGGGTTCAAAGCCGCCAGCCCCAGAGACGTTCCCTGTGGTCGTATTACGAGGATTGACAGAGAGTTAAAGAGGAAGTGCTGTTTCACTGTGATGCAGAGACTGACAACCACCAGGTCAAGTCTTTGTGCCTTGGGGTATGTGCCACGCACTTTGGGAAATTTGTTTTTAAAAAATTATTTAACTTTGGGACCAGCAGGTGGCGTGGTGGTTAAGGTGCTGGACACTCCCACATGGCTGACCACGGTTCGAGTCCTGGACCTGGCGGCTTGCTTTCTCCCTTTCCCCTCTCTGTGTGTGTGTGTCTCTCTGGTCAAATTAAAATGAAGGAATGAATGAGCAAATACATAAATCTTTAAAAGAATTATTTAATTTTATTTATCGTTATTTATTATGATTTTGAATTTGCTATAGGGCATTCAGAGAGAGACTGAGAAAGCAAGGCTCCAGGTCCGGGACTAGATCCACTGTCAGCCATGTGGGAGTCCAATGCCTTCACCACCTGCTGGTCTGTTTTAGAAAACTGGCTTCCTTTGATCCTCAGAAAGAACTGGTATGCACCTACATGGAGCTGGTTATGTTCTCTCTAACCCCCAAACCCAACTTTGAGATTCAGAATCTCAGAACCAGGAAATGCCACCTTGCAGAAAGACACTCATGTTATGAAAGCCGACCGAAGCTTGGGTCTGTCTCTTCATGGGTCATGTGGTCATGTGAATTAATCCTTTTTTGGGGGGATTTAGAAAATCCTAGCATTTAAGGGACAATCTAAAACCCAGAGGGGGAGTAAAGAATGGCACACTGGAACATATACATCCCTTTTTAACGTTTATTTCTTCCGTGAAGGAAACAGATAGGCTTCTCTAACAGGGTCCCCACAATTCTTTTTTTTAAGAGAGATTTTTGCTATAGGGCGTGTGCACTCTCCAGAGAGAGACAGAAAGTGAGAAATCACTCTCTGGGGAGATGGCCATGCCACAATCCCTTCTCCATTTTCCTCTTGGGATTTGGGGCACACACACACACACACACACACAGGCGCCAGGAGGAAAGAGCTTCAAGGGGCGGGTCCAGGACTCAAACCGTGGGCAACCACGTGGTAGTCCGTTGCCTTACCCACTACACCACCTGCTGGCCCCACGGTCTACTGAATTTAACCCACCCTAGTCTCAGCTGCCAGAATCGTGGGTGTGTGCACGCACAGGGGTGTGGAGAGGGACCCTGGGATGTGAACCCAGAATTTCCCCACCTGGGTCTGGATATGTTACCCCTGCGCCACTGTCAGCCTGAAACAGCCTACGATAATGTAAATTTCACGAAGTGATTCCTGGCTGCCTGGTAGGCTGCTTCCCACCTGGAGGGACCCCCATGTTTGCAGGGGGCAGGGTGCGCTGAAAGCCTGGTCCGCCCCTGCTGTGTTTCAGTGGTGCCGCGCGGGGGAGTGCGTGAGCAAGACGCCCATCCCGGAGCACGTGGACGGGGACTGGAGCGCGTGGGGCGCCTGGAGCATGTGCAGCCGCACCTGTGGGACCGGAGCCCGCTTCCGGCAGAGGAAATGTGACAACCCCCCGTAAGTCCGCGCGCCCTGGGCGTTTCCAGAGAGCCTAGACTGCGCCGTCTCTCTGCCGTGGGTAGTGGAGGGTCTGGCTCCCGCCGCGCAGGAGCAGAAGGACCAAGGAAAGAGAACCAGGGTGGGGTGCTGGAGGGAAGGGGGAGGCAGCAGGCGTCCATGGCGCTCGGCCACAGTGCCTTGCTCCACGGTCATACTTCAAGGACTGAAAGAGAAAAGGAAGCTTCATTTCCCCCTGGAGTTCTGATTGGAGACCCTAAGTCAGGTCTGGTGGTCGTGGGCAGGTGCCACGCCTCTGCTTGGACGTCTGGCTTTCCAGGGTGCACACGGAGCTGGGTGTGTCTTGGCTAAACCAGGTCCCATGCTGGGCTGGTTCCATTATAATTCCGTGCTGGGTCTGGTGGAAAGGTTTCCTGGATCAGCTGCATTTGGTCCCTGACTGCTCTAGGGTTTCCCTACTGAGGGCCAGTTCTTGGGAAGCCTAGAAACCGCCAGGAAAGAGAGGCCTTGGAAAGGTCAGATTGTGTAGTGGTTATGTCGCTGGACTTGCGCATGGTTAACTGTGGTTTGAGTCCTGGACCTGGTGGCTTGAAACTCCCACGGGGTGCATGTGCATGTGTGCCCAAGATCTTGGGAGGAGAATGGAGAAGGGATTGCGGCATGGCCATCCCCTCTGGGGGGTGATTTCTCTCTTTCTCTCTTTCTGGTGAGCACATGCGCCCTATAGCAAAACCTCTTCCCCACTCCTCTCCAAAAAAGAAAAAAAAAGAGGAAAGGGACCAGCAGTTAGCATAATGGCTATGTCGCTGGACTCCCATGTAGTTGACAACGGTTCAAGTACTGGATCCAGTGGCTTAAACTCACGTTGAGTGTCACCAAGGTCCCGAGAGGAGAATGGAGGAGAGGGGATTGCGGCGTGGCCATCCCCCCTGGGGGGTGATTTCTCGCTTTCTGTCTCTCTGTCTCTCTCAGCAGTCTTTCTGGTGAGCGCATGTACCCTATAGCAAAAACCTCTCAAAAAAAAAAAAACCAAAAAAAACCGCTCAAAAAAAAAAAAAACCAAAAACTAGAGGCAAGACAAGCAGACCTTCAAATTGGCTGTTAGCTGGTTGGGGGCCAGCCTGGTGGTTTACTGAGTCACAGCCTATCTGGATTCAGCTGTCTTGCTCATTACAAGATTTTCCATGGGTCCTCCTAGAACTGTTGGACAGAAACAAGTGTTTTTGCTTTTTGTTTTCTGCTCTGATTTCTCTTTATTATTTATGACGGCACCATGACCCCTCCCGTTCACCTTTGCACATTTTGTCTCTAGAAAACTCAATTAGATTTCGTGACCACTTTACAGTAATCCCTTCTCCACGGAATTTTCCCTTCTCTTGAAGTTTCCTATTTAAAAAAAGAAAATTTATTTTGAAAGAGTTTTGCTATAGGGCACATCTGCTCACTGGAGAGAGACAGAGAGAGGAAAAGTGAAAAGGTGAAACAGGGGGATGGCCATGCCACAATCCCTTCTCCTCCATCCTCCTCCTGGGATTTCTGGCATGCACGCACATGCGCCCGGCATGATTTTCAAATCACGGGCCCAGAGCTTGAATTGCAGTCAGCCATGTGAGAGTCCAGCACCTTAACCACCCCACCACCTCCTGGCTCCTCATTTTTCTTTTGTAATCTATTTATATCTTGTGTGCTACGTCAACTTTAAAGTGGAGCAAGTTGTAAATGAGGAATGAACAGTAATGCTTTATATCTACAGTGTGAAGTCATGGACATGAATATTGGGTCATTGGGAAAGTTATGACGTAGTTTTTACGTACAAAGACACGTCACGGCTTTCCTGACAGCCTAATCATTGGCAAATGCTGTATTATCTGGATTAAAATCTTTTCTTTTCTTTTTTTTTTTTTTGGAGAGGTTTTTTGCTATAGGGCACGTGCACTCACCAGATAGAGAGACAGAGAGACAGAAAGCGAGAAATCGCCCCCCAGGGGGGATGGTCATGCCGCAATCCCTTCTCCTCCATTCTCCTTTCAGGATCTTGGGCACACACGCACACGCGCCCGGCGTGAGTTTAAGCCACCGGGTCCGGGACTAGAACTGCAGTTGACTACATGGGAGTCCAGCGACATAGCCATTACGCTAACTGCTGGTCCCTGGATTAAAATCTTGATCCCACATTCTCTTCTAGACCCATGAAATCACATCCTCTAGAAGTGGAACGCAGGAGGGAGTAGTTTTAAATTGGCCAGGTGATTCTAATGACCAGCCAACGTTGGGAGCCTTGGGATTGAGAGAAAGCTTAATTATGGTCAGTGACAGGAATGCATTTTTTCCGGGTAGTGCTACAAGAATTGGCATCATGTCTTTTATTTTTCATTTGCCAGAGGGTGCGTGTGCTCCCTGGAGAGACAGAGAAAGTGAAGAAGCACCCACCTACTCCCACGAGGAATGGTCATGCCACGATTCTTTCTCCATTTCTACCTTCTGGGCAGAATTTTGGGTATGCACACGCATGCACCTGGTGTGTTTCTCAAGACACCAGGTCTGGGATTTGAACCCTGCTACTGGCCATGTGGAATCCAGCTGCCTTCACCACCACACCATGGCTGGCCCTTAGATTAGGTCTTACTAGTTGGTCACTTTGCCTTTCTCTGTCTTTTTCTCCAGCGAGCAAATGTGCCCTATAGCAAAACATTAAAAAAAAAAACAAAAACAAAAACTCAGGCCAGCAGATGACCTGGAGGTTAAGGCACTGGATCCTACATGGCAGACTTCCAGGTTTGAGTCCCAGACCCCACTGCTTGAAAATTATGCCAGGTGCAGGTGTGTAGGTGCCCAAAATCCCAAGAGGAGACTGAAGGAGGAGGGATTGTGGTATGGCCATCCCCTAGGAGTGATTTCTCATGATCTCTCTGTCTCTCTCTCTGGCTAGTGTACACATCCTATAGCCAAAAAAAAAAAAAAAAAAAGGCAAAAACAACAACCTTCTGTCACCTGTCCCAGCAGCACCTGGCACATAGTAGTTTTTTAATCTGTTTTGATTTATTTTTAATTAAATTTCATTTACAATAAATAATTAAATAATTAAAATAATTACATTGTTTTATTGAACTATTTATGTATTTAAATTGGAACAGTGAGGGACGGAAAGTGAGAAAGCAAGCCATCAGGTCTGGGACTCGAACCGTAGTTAGCCACTGGGAATCCTGCACCATTAACCACCACGCTACATGCTGGCCTCATGAATGACTTTTTACTTAGAAGCTTAGGTGGGGAGATGGTTAGAAGGGCTGTTCAGCCACATGGTAAGAATGTAACGTAGCGGAGTCTGTTTTTCCATCACTGTGTGGGAGTTAATATTAGTTAGACTTCCGACCCTCAGAAAAGAGCCTTCCATCTGGATTCGTGGTGCTCAGATTTGGGCCTGCCTTTATGGGTTATGCCCCTTCAAGGAAATCCTTCTGCTCATTGGGCCTTTGTCTCCCCCTTAAGAGGGCATAGATATGGGGCCAGCAGGTGGTGTGGTGGTTAAGGTGCTGGACTCCCACGTGGCCGACCATGGTTCAAGTCCTAGACCCAACGACTTGAACATCATGCCGGATGCATGTGTGTGCGTGCCCCCAAATCCTGAGAAAATGGAGGAAAAGGGATCGTGGCATGTTCAAACCCCCCTCGGGGTGACTTCTCACTCTCTTTTGTGAGTGCATGTACCCTATGACAGAAACCTAAAATAAAAAATAAAAAAGAAGGGTATAGACATGGCACAGTGGGAAGAGCCAGGCTTCCAAGCCAGAAAGGACAAGTGTTCAAATCCCAGGGCTACTCCTTACAGCACCTGACAGCTACTGTGTACTTGTTTCTCTGTCTAAAAATCGGCATCATTCCTGAGAACGCGTACACAGCGTTGGGGTCTATATTTAATAAGAAATTCATCATTATTAGCAAAATAAAAGAATGGACGGAGACCACTTGCCCCACCCCACCAATCTCAGGGCACCGTTTGCAGCCCAGAGGAAGCTGACTGGCATGGAAAAGCCTATTCAGTGCAGAGAGAAATTTACAAGGGTTGTTTGTCATCTCTCCATGTGTGTCACAAGAGCTTGTGGGCCCTGGCTGGGAACTGGTCTCCGATGTCACATTGCGTATGTGACATATTACACATACACATCCAGTGACAGCCAGTACGTGTCATAATCGGGGACTATCAGCACCTTTACATGCCCAAAGAGAAGCCAACAGGTGGCATAGTGGTTAAGGTGCTGGACTATCACATGGTCGACCTTGGTTTGAGTCCTGGACCCGGCGGCTTGAAACTCATGCTGGGTGCATGTATGTCGCATGTTCAAAATCCCAAGAGGAAAAGCAATTGTGGCGTGGCCATCCTCCCTAGGGGGTGTGATTTCTCACTTTCTGTCTCTCTGTCTGTCTCTGTCTTTCTGGTGAGCGCACGCGCCCTATAGCAAAAACCTCTAAAAAAAAATAAATAAAAATATCAAAACAAAACATGCCAGGCACCTGTGCATGCATGCTCAAGATTCCCCCAGGTCGGAGAAACAGAGAAGGGATTGCAGCGTGGCTATGCCTCAGTGCGGAGGCCCCTCCTCCCCGTCTCTCAGTCTCGCGATGGACCACGAGGCGTGGTCTTGACTAGCAGGTGGGGTCTAGGTGAGCACAGAGCGCCACGGTATGTGACCTCGTCCTGACGCAGGTGGAGGGGTCCAGCCGGTCTCTGCTCAGAGCACACAAGCCATTCCTTACCTTACCAAGGCCATGAGAGCTATTTTTTTGCTCATCCTGAAACAGAATGACTTGTACAGGGTACCCAGGAGCCACTGAAAGGTCAATTCAGAAAAGATGCGAAAAATTAAAAAAAAAAAAAAACACATTCTAAAAAATTTCTCTTAGGGTTTTCAGTGTTACATGTGGCTTTTTTGGTTTTTTTTTTTTAAAGAGATTTTTGCTATTCCTAGGCCAAATTTTTTTTTAAGGTTTTGCCACAGGATGCATGCACTCACCAGAGACAGAGAAAGGAAAAGTGAGAAATCACCCTCCGAGGGGATGACAGCTCTACAGTCCTGTCTTTTTTTATCTTCCTTGGATTTTGGGCATGCACACACACACACATCTAGTGTGATTTTCAAGGTGTCAGATCCAGGACTCGAACTGTGGTTGGCCATGTGGTAGTCCAGTGCTTCAACCACCATGCCATGTGCTGGCCCTTCCATGCATGGCCAGATTTTAAGTTCACATGATTCGTAGATTTTGCTGACCTGATATTCAACCATATTCTGTTTCCAGATTAGCTGGATTTATGATTCTTGGAGGTATTTCTGTTTTGTTTTTGTTTTTGTTTTTGTTTTGGAGAGGTTTTCACTATAGGGCGCATGTGCTCGCCAGAAAGAGAGAAAGACAGAGAGACAGAAAGCGAAGAATCGCCTCCCCCAGGAGAATGGCCACGCCGCAATCCCTTCTCCTCCATTCTCCTCTCGGGATCTTGGGCATACATGCGCATTTTCCTGATAGCGTCTTTAAAACATGCCGCTAGCGTGAGCCTGGGATCGCAGAGATGGGGCTGCATTGAAAACCTGCCTTGCTCCGTTGCTCTTTGAACAACAGAGACAAGCCCCTGCCGTTTCCGCAGCACCATCGGGTTAACACAGACCGTCTTCCTCCTTCTAGCCCCGGGCCCGGAGGCGCACACTGCCTGGGTGCCAGCGTGGAGCACGCGGTCTGCGAGAACCTGCCCTGCCCCAAGGGCCTGCCCAGTTTCCGGGACCTGCAGTGCCAGGCCCAAGACCGACTGGGCAGCAAGAAGAAGGGTCTGCTGACAGCAGTGGTGGTTGACGGTAAGGCATACGGCATGTCCTGTCTTCCTGGCGTCCTCTGTCCTCCTACAACAACACAACCACCCCTTAGAGAAACCTCCAGGGCACCCCTCCCTCAGATGTACCCAACAGGCTGCCCCTGTCTTCTCTCTAGATCAGTCATGGCCCGCCCTTCTGAGCAGTGGGGTTGAACTTGAACGATGCCATGTGCTAAGATCTTGCAGAAGCAGCTATGGAGGCAAGCAACAGGCCGGATGCATCCTGCACCCTACTTGCAGGAAGACAAATGTGCTAGAAGCCTGCCCCCCGGCATCAGGGGCTCAGGGACCCAGGACAGATTTGTTGGCGAGGGTGGCTTACCCAACAGCAGCACAGTGGCGTGTCTGTGTGTGTGCTGGTTCGTTTCCGATATTCACGCGCTCCTATTTTGCTTTTCTTGGTTCATTGGGGATCGACCCATATTCCTTCACTGGGGTATTTGCAGACATATTTGAGAACCGTTTGCGGCTTGGGAAAATTATAAGAAGCACAGGGCGTGTTTTCTTTCTAAGAGTTTTCTCCAAATCAAGAGCTTCTGGCTCTCCTACTGCTGTATGTATGCTGGCACAATTTCCAGGTGTTAGGGACCAGCAGATGGCATAATGGTTATGTCACTGGACTCCCACGTAGTCGACCCTGGCTCGAGTCCTGGACCCGGCGGTGTAAAATTCTCACCAGGTGTGTGTGTGCAAGCGTGCCCCAAAATCCCGAGAGGAAAATGGAGAAGGGATTGCAGCGTGGCCATTACCCCCGGGGGAGGGGGTGATTTCTTGCTTTCTGTCTCTCTGTCTGTGTGTCCACTGAGCCCACACACCCTATAGCAAAAAAATCTCTCAAAAAAAAAAAAAAATCTAGGTGGTATCTCATGTCTGTAGGATTTGCAGTGTCTGCATATTGTAGGTAAGGACACCTCAGAGCCTCGTTCCGGGTATTCTTTTTCCCACTTAAAACTCTTCCTTGGGAACAGCAGTTAGCGTAATGGCTATGTCACTGGACTCCCATGTAGCCGACCATGGTTTGAGTCCCGGACCCGGTGGCTTAAAC